TGCTCGCGCTTGCACGCTCTCTGTCTCTCTCTCTCTCTCTCGATATTGCTCTTGCTATCTATCTATCTATCTATCTATCTCTCATGGCTTGGGGTATGGGTATCTGGGGTTCCTATTTTGGAGTCACACCGACATGAAAGGATCTGGAACCTTCAGCTGGTATAGGTGCTTCCAAGGTGTTTGTTAGCGGGCCACCTGTGAATGGTTCACAAGGCAAATCATTTGACCTCCAAAGAGAACTGCTGGCTTTAATCCATCTGAACAAGACTGGCCTCAGGTAAGGAGTGACCGTTAAAAACCACCAACCAATCTCTGATCGTGCTTAACTTTCTCGGCACAACAACCCCCAAACCTGTGAGATGAGAACTTGTTATCCTTGTCGCGTGTTCTATCTTCATATTGCGTTGGTGTCTTTGCATGTCTTTGCCTTGTATCTTCATATCATCCTCCTTTAAACAGTGGACTGTCAGAACTGCACTCTGGTGCCCAATTTCTCCTTGTTGGCTTCGTGCTTCACTGGCGCCTCGCACCGGGCAGCCACACGCTGAATGGCCTCGCCACGGTATCATGGCGCGACATCCTGGCATTATGGCAACACACATGGCAACGGGAGACCTTTTGGCCTGGCTTTTGGGAGACCCCCCTGGCCTGGCTTTGGGAGACCCCCTTGGCCTGGCTTTTGGTATGTTTTGGTCCTCTGTTCCGCAGCGAACCGAAGAACGGCGTGAGACCTCCGGTCTCCCGAGACCCAGCCACGTACCGAACCGTCGCCGTGGGAAAAAAAGGATCGGACCTAACCAGAGGACGTAGAGAGGACCATCCAGCCGTCCGATCGCCAAGCTGCATGCTGAGCGATGCCCAATCCCGCAAGGGCCACCTGTTCAGAGTGAGGACCCGGACTGGGGTGGCATTGGGTAGCATCCAGGGAGCTCCTTCAAAGTGACCCTTTAAAGCTTTTGGAGCCCCTGTGACCTGAGCAGCGTGTGATATCAAGGAAGGTCGAACATCCAGGGAGATGAGTTTGCTTTGGACATGTCGAGGTGGACTCCAAGGTCTTTCTTGTTTGTTGCAAGGAGTACCCATGTCTCTTGATTGGTGCGAGGGAAAATTGTGGTTCTTCTTGTCAATTACAATAGGACATCATTAGATTGTGAAGTCTTCAGAACATTTCCTGAAGGGTAAATCCGATCCTACTGGGGTCACAATCCGTCCATCTGTCCATTTCCTCTCCTTCACCGATGAAGCACCAGCACCAACAAAAAGAACTTCATTCGGGTTCCAACAGCTTGGCCGGTTGGAACCCACAGCCCACAGCTTAACGGCCAACCCCAAAGAAACTCAGGGTTTTAAACACGGTCTGCGCTCTTTCCGTCTCCAGCAAGTCTGGGAAGTCCGAAGAACACAATTCGCAAAGAAAGGCGCCAGTCTTTTTGCCCAGTCTGAACCACAAAAAAGCGGCGAGGAACGGTTTCAACATCGTTCAACTTGTTTGAGCAAATATGAGTCAGTGGCAGTCAGTGGGTTCAATCATCTCAAGTAAGCCTTGAAAACAAACATGTCTGACACCTCCACCCAGAAACAAAAACACAGGGCAATCTCCGTTGCGGGAGGTCCATACGGTGCTGCCTTTGAGGGGTGTGATCCATCTTTCACGGTCCGTTTCAAAAGGGTGAAGGCAAAAACGTATAGATCACGTACCAGGACCATCCTGGCGCCTGGTTGGACTGCTCTACGGACTCTCGGACACCCCGGTGCGGGATCGCCGCTCCGTGCTCAACCCCACCACCTCGGTGCCGACCAAGTTCTTGGTCCACAGGATGCCTAACCAGGCTGCCGTGTCCTGGCGTGGATTCGGTCAAAGCCAAAGGTGCCGAGTCATGTGGATGTCGCCTAGGTCGACAGAGGTCAGCCATCGCTTTCGGACTCGGGGGGAGGTCGTTCTTCAGGAAGACCCCCAACATCTCGGGTCGACTGGTCGACTGGTCACCGAGCCCCAAAAGTTCAGAACTTGGCGCAGGTCAGGGGATGGTCATCGGATGGGTGATTGGATGAAACAAACATCATTAGGGGTGTCTCTATGTCTATATGTGTCGATCTATTTTCACCCAAGGGTGCAGGATGATCGTCCCTCGGTTCGATCCTTAAGGATTTGTCAGGTGGAGAAGATTCTGATGTCAGGTGAGACATGTTCCTCGACCGAAGCGGTGTTGAGCGTGTCGTTGTTGGTGGCTTGTTGGGATGTGAACGTTCCAAAAGATATCAGTCTCTATATAGTCTAGGCATGACTATAAGTATATATATACACGCTCTAGGTGAACAAGATTCCATGGAGGTTCTGAGTAGGCCTCCTCAATTCCCTATAACATCTAATTTGGACTGGTGGGGTGGGATATGATATGCCCCCAAAAGGATTTTTCACCGGCCATTTAATGCTTTGTTGAATGTAACCTTTAACCAGATCTTTCGTCTCACACTCACTGTGTCCTTTAGTCGTGCTCCAGCTGCCTACTGCAGCTCCCACACTCACCGTTCCTTTTCAGTATAGGTCAGTCGGAAGTCTCATGGGTGCAAAAACAGGGGACAGGCCACGAAATGGTGGGAACTCTCGTCACCAATTCGTGGACTAAACAGGCACAACACCCGCAACAACAAGGGCATTGGTGGACCTGACAGGTTGCTAGTTCGGGGGCCGACAACGTGTCGAAAACATGATCGAGGCAAACACAGCACGTTTTTGGGCGGATTCAATGCACAAAACCACGTAAAGCACACACATGTGCTCCTTAAGGATTTGCCAGCTATCCCGGTGCATGGCTTCAAATCCATTAAACAAAGAGAGCGGGTGTTGGTAGAGATAGCACCCTTCTGCAAAAAAAAAGAAAAAAAACTCCCCACACGGCGGAAGTGCGGCACTGGACAATCTTGACACCACGTTCTCCAAGTTGACACCACTGGTGTTCCGCCTCACACAACTCCACAAACCTGATGCCGGAATGATCAACCCGAACAACATAAAAGCAACAAATCTATACATCACTCCTTCTGTTGGTGATTCCTTCATCTACAAAAACACCACTTTGGTTTTCTCACTCCGTCCAAACAGGTCCGCCTGATCGCTCACTTGCACGAAGTCGAAGCGAAAGAGGTACCTGGCGATGGCGCGACCGGTCGGTGGAAATGAGTGGAACGAAGAGTGAAGAGTACGGGAAACAGCGAGGTGGTTCGGTTGGAAGGGAGTGAAGAGAGTTGGGTATTGTGAAACACTTTGGACTGGGTGATGGTGAATGAGAGAGGTGCGGTGCGTTTTTTTGGCCTGCAAAGCAAATTTATAGTAGTCATAGTCGCTGTTAGAGTGAAGGAGATCCTGTGAAAGTACAACTCCACTCGTAAAGCCCTGGTGGTTCACCGTCCAACAAGCCAACTCTTCTAAAAGTCCAAGCTTGGGAGCTTCTTTCAACCAAGGCTGGATCTGGTTGCGAACCTCCTACTACAACGAAAGGCAACCTTTTTCTCCGCCCAGCCGGGTCTGGTTTTTTCAAGCCCACATCTGGACGTCACTTGGCCAAGATGGCCTTTTCACCTTCACTCCGTTGTGAGGCTCTTCTGGCCACGGAGGGCCCGACTGCGACGCTGAATGAGTGCTGCCGGTGTCTCCTGGGCGGAGGGCACCGGGATGAGGAGGCACCCGAAACAAACCTCGGATTGTTGGATTACAACCCCCACAATGAAATGCCCAAGCTTCACTATACAAACATCCATGCACTTTTGGCTTGGGGGAGAGTAGGTCCACCCAATCTACATTGAGGGGCTCTGGGAGGGTAAACATATGTTTTGGTTGTGCCTGATACGGCCTCTTATATACCCTTGAACCCAAACATCCACATATGATGTACCCAAAAAATGTAGATCTGCATCACAGGTGATCCATTGTGTGCCAGTGCCATCAAAGGAACCCATCACCAGTTGTATCTAGCCCTCCAACATGTTGTGTTTGTTGTCTATTTTTTCTGGACAATACCACCAAATTAACCCCCCATACAGGGACTATGATGTATAATATATATGTATGCCAGGAGATCTATGTCGGGGTGCCCATTGGAGGGCATCAAGGGTGCCAATTATCCACTCACTAAACGACTATACAAAAAACATTCCATTGGAACTGTTGGTATACATGTGTGCGATTGTGTGCGTATCTGTATATTATATATATATATGCAAATACGCCTCAGTGTTTTCGGCGTGAACGCAATCTTTTGGAGTCATTGCCCTGTACTGGAGTCACTTGAGTTTTCTCACTTTTTTCTGATGTTCCACGAGTGTTTATACACAATAAGCTATGGGCGCTTATTGGTGAGTCACGGGTGCTTTACCCGAACGTGCTTTTTCAGCGGATGTCGTTCACAGACCTAGAGAAAGGTCAGTTACAGCTGAACTACCAACCCAAACAATAGTAAGCACTAAGGTTACAGGTATACAGGCTTTTGTGCCTTAAAATAGGATAGGGAGCCAGGGGGACCTCCCAGGCGACCCCCCAGGCGTTTCAACCGGGTTCGGTTTGGGGTCTGACCCCCCCACCTGCAGTGCTTCGAGCGCATCCTTCAGCCCATCGATCTCCTGATCGCTCGGCCGCGGGGCTCGGTGGGTGTGAAGGACCGGCCAAACAGCGGATGTCTGATGCGTCAACCGGTAGACTGATGAATGAAGCGGGCCATTTGGAGTGTACCTAAAAGCTCTCATATCTTAATATGGGGGGTTGTAATCGAGCAGAGTACATTAAGTGGAGCAAGTAATGACTTGGAGGTTGTTTGGATGGCACGCACCAAAGCCATCACTCCTCGTTCCCCTACTCCTCGTGCACCTCCCAACCCTGCGCCATCCTGCACCCCTGCCTGCTGTTTCTTGGCTTGCTTCTCAGCAAAGGACTCAGGGGTCACCAAGCACTCCGCTTCCAAGCCCTTAATGAAATCCTGACGGTGACATGGGCGTTGGCCATGCATTCAGCTGACCTTCCGAAAGCGAAAGGGGTGAGCCCTGGACGAACTAGCGGCAAAGCCGACCATTATACATCAACCAAACCTTCTTGGGTGGGGTTTGGCCCTCCAAAAACCTGTGGGTCATGGCACTAACTGGCACACTTGGCAACCACATACGGTGACATGGGCGTTCACAGATTCCAACAAGGAATTGTCAACCTCCCATGGTTTGGTGAGGTTTTGATCCGACTCTCTCAGGTGAGCCATAGCGCCATCCGACTGTCGGCACGGTACCGACCCTACCACTTGAACTCGGCCCCGGCGGGTTCGACGGCACGTGAAGTATCGAGTCAACGGGAAGTTGATGGACGCAAGGAGTTGCTCATGCCATGCCCTAGGGATCCAGTCGTACCCTCTCAGAAGGTGAGCAGGGAGACACTGTTATGTAGCTTTGGAGGGTCCAAGTACCTTCTAAGAAGGTACTTGAAACCCTCGCAACCTCTTCTTAGTCTTTTTGCTTGGAGGTCGGGATGATGACTGTTGGATGTTTTTCGAGTCACCACGCGGGTAGCAAAGGTCGTCCGAGCTCCACGAGCTCCACCGGCCCGCCTGCAAGGCGGACATCTCGGTCTGATGGCTTTCCTGGTCATTGCTCAGCTCGGCCAGCTCACCGTCCAAGCGCATGGCCTTGCGCGGTTTCGGTAGCAACATATGGAAACACCAAGTCATTACACATCAAATGTTATTCAACTTTTACATCTACAGTGGAGTCTTGTGCCCCTTGTGACCTTGTGACTCTACAATAGTCTATGTCGTGAAACGCACGAAGTGCCAAGCTTTCTGCTTCTAAGAACACAAAGCTGGAAGTATTGGACGTTTTTGAGTTCCCTGTTAGCGAATCGTTCATTGATGTTTCACCAACGGCGGTGAAACAGGCTCTGCCTCGCTGGTCTTGAAGCTGATGTCCTTCTCCTGCAAATCACGTGGATGTAGCTCGAAACAAAGTGATGTGGGCAGGAGACGTCTATAGGTTGGGTCTATCCTATTACCAGTAACAGTGGATGATGATGATTAGTAAAGGGCTTGTTCAAAAACCTGACTGTTACAATTTATATATTATCTATGAGATCAACCCCTAGAGTCCTAGTGAATTCCAATGAATTCAACTTAGGCACCTTCGGGCTGCTTTGGATAAGAACTCGATCTGTTCACACCGGGTTGGTGCCGTTGAAGCCACACAATTGATTCTATGGGACTCCCCATCAAATAAATACATCCACTGATTTCAGAACCAAAATCTGTTTCCCGTGTCAGTGTAAGGGATCGTCAAAAACATCAAGTCCTGTGATCGTCCATCCTGTATTAATCCTGCACATGCGGTTACAAAAAAAACAAAAACATGCTTGTATTTTTAAACAAGAAACAAACACTCCTTTGCCTGTACAGTAGGAGTGTCCATCTTTGGTGAATCGATCTAAGATCGTGCCTGCCTTCATGTAGAGAGCCACCTTTTATACAATCCAATCTATACCAGCACCGAAACCAACATGTCTCCGACATGGAGGCTTTTGTAGACTTAAAAGTCGCAGGTGGTGACCTGTGAAGTCGGGTCGTGGTATATATAGGACATCAAAGATCTGTATCCTGTACTCATCCATCCGCTGAAACTCATTGAGATACCATCAATGAACATGGGATGTCTTCCACCCGCTGGGGGCCACTTGGGTGCCAACGCGTCGTCCCGTTTGGAGCCCGTGTGAACGAACGCGTGCCTTCTGGACCTTTTCCAGCTTCATGTCTTGCATATCCTGGACATGGTGGATCATCCTAGCCCTCCACTGGTTGCTCTCATTTGATCGCATTTCATTGGAGACCCAAAACAGATGTAACATTCAGATACTCTTGGAAGAACATGGGTGTTACCGTACCAGTTGGAAGGTAAGACCGACCTTTTTTGGAAGTAACACACACACGCCTGCTAGAGAAGTCATGTGTTTCTTAAGTAAATGTGTTGGTGAATGAGGATCAATTTACAACTATGTCCAACGCACGTCACAATCTCAACAGCCATTTATATATAGTTGGGGAGACACACATTTGCCTTCCAGTTGAGTGCGTCGCGTGACGCAACCAACCAACACAGCTGTGCCCCATCATTACATCAAATTGATTAATATTACAGTACCTATATATATATATATACTTGCAAGATTGCTTGCAGAGGCCTAGAGAGTTAAGACATGTTAGGACCCATCTACAGGACCCACAGAAGGGCACAAACATCCCTACAAGTCTTGCTGAGCTCATCTCCCCTCCCTGAACCATTGGAGTCCAGTTGTCTCGTCTCAAGCACATTCGGAGGGCCATACATCAGAAAAAGCTGTGATGGATGAGAAGGACCAACATCAATTGTTGGGTAGATCATTGCCATCAATTGTTGGGTAGATAGATCAGTATATGTATATATATGTCTGTGCGTTACATAGATGTACGTTCGTACATAATATATATATAGATATATATATATAGTATGCATATAGTATATGTTCTAAACTAGTATCATATGTACGTTACATACAATGTGACATCTGGATTTATTTACCCAACGAGATCAATTTGGTGCGTTGCTTGAGAAATGTTCTGACGTTTTGTCTGGCCCAAAACCATGACATTTCCCTCAGCAGTGAGATGTCCCCTCCAGTCAGATAACCGGTCTCCCAATCCCAATTTTTACATAAGTTTGCTGGCTTCTGGTGGAGGAGATCCTTTGTCACACTAAGTTTTGTCACATGAAAACTAGCCAACATTATTGCTGGTCACTCGAATCAGTCACTTTCTCCCATGTGAATCCCAACCGAATATCCACCTCAACATGCCAGATGTTTGGGGTGTTTGACCCACGGCCAAGGATCAGCTCACGCCCGAACTGACCAGCCAGTTCGACAAACCTGCGCATCTGTCGACCGTGCCTTGTCAAAGTTGCTGGCAGCCGTCTTCTCCGCAGAGCGCATCTGGGTCAAGCCTGAGGACCCAAATCAGGAAGCGATTGGTCAGGAAGCGTTTGGTTACAGGGAATTCCCCGCAAAAATCCAGCACCAGATTCCGCCCAACACGACGTCGACTACACGCTGGTGGACTATATCCTTATCCAAGCAGCTCATGGCCATATCCGCTTCAACCTCCTCCAAGCGCCCAATCACGCCGCCAGCAGCGCCCTTGCGCTCTCCACTGGTGACCTGTTCCCCAGAAGAGGCGATCGAAAAATCCTGAAGAAGCCCAGCAGTTGTACCGGTTTGTACGGAGGAAAACAGTTCTTCTCAAGGGCCTTGGTCTACCCCAGCTTGGATTGAAGTTCTAGAATTTTATGTCGTCTATCTTCAGGTTCTTCGCTGGTTCTCTTTTGCTTACCCTGTTGCAACAGGAAACACATATATGAACTGCCACGCAATCACAGTGCTTTGCAAGAGAAAGTCTGCCGCAGGCATATCTGTTCTAATTCTTGTTTGATGCAGTGTGCAAAAGAGAAACACTCCATGGAACAAATAATTACACAATATAGAAAAACACCAGTAAATTCAGAGGTTTTCCTCCCTGAGGGATGTGCAGGGTTTTGCCCTTCACCAGTCAGAGATTTCAACCGGTGTCAGTTTGATGTCCTCCTTCGAATAATAGAGGGGTCATGAGGGGTCAGTTTGGTACCATATATATATATAACACCAATTGGTTGTTCACCTGGGAGTATTTCATGTCCACTACTGATCAACCAACGACGAGTGAAAGGCTACTGTATCTATGATTACAACAACCAGTGTTTTGAACGGTCGTTCCCGAACAACCGTCTATGGTACTTACTCTGACAAACCCACTAGGTCAGCCATGACAAAGATAGTTCTGATGACCCATTGATGCGTGCACATTTAGAATGTCTTTGACAAGGGAAGAGGAATTGGACAATTGAGAGTTCGCGATTTGCCCAGCAAATATTTAGAACTTGTCCAGAAACAAAACTAAGACATACTGAGATAAATGGATCTGTATAGTTCACCGGGAAGATTCAACTTTGGGGAGACCAGAAAGAGACCCTGTCACATGTGTCCGCCACATCTTCAGAACGCCTGAACGCCAGAGCTCTTGTAGAACTCACGCAAGGTGCGCAGGGCGGTCTTCACGCCTTCCATGCCTGGAGGCTGGTCTTCGGGGGCCGTCCACGTGCGAAAGGAGCGCAGCGAGGCGAGGAGCGCAGCGAGGATTCGAAAGGATCGCGAGTCTTCGAAGCCGAAGAATCAGTGAGTCGGCAGTTCTTCCTTTGAGCACTCTAAGGGCATGGTGAAATCCAAGGAGATTCCAAGATCTTCAAAGAAACAATCGATCCTTGAAATCGACCAAATAGTGAGGAGTACTGTTACAGAGTCGTATATAAATGGTGACCAAAGAAGCAGTGGATCTGCCGCCTTTGGATGGCCGAAAAAAAAATGGAATTTCCAACCAGCTTAGATGAAGCCTCAGCCATCCTCATCCCAAAATGAGCGTGCCATTGAGCAAAATTGCTTGCATAATTAATTATTCTATATAGTTAAACAGTTAAACCATATTATTTCTGATTTCAATTCGACAGGCTAACCGAGGCTAGCACTCTACCAAAAAAGGTAAAATAAGCATGTCTGTTCATGTGAAAGGTTAAGCACTGGTTGGCCGCCCCGCAGCTTCTCCCGTCCCATCCCTGGTCCCTGCCTTTCACGGTCTCTGGCTCGTTCTTCTCAAACAAGGCCTTGGCCTCTTGTCGGAGCTTCGTCATGTTCCTGGCGCGCTGGAGACCGCCCGTAGGCCACCGGTGGCCACGGGTACCCCACGTAGCAGCGCGGGTAGCCGCGTTGACCCCATCGCTGACCGCAATCCCAGCTACACCCAATTCGTCCTGGACTCCCAAGCTCGAGTAGATACAAGATTCAGAGCGTCTCTGGTTGCAACATTTTGAGTTAGAGGAGGAGGCAAACTGAAAATCCTGAAAACTTAATTTCAATACATAGCTGATCATAGCAGCACTCTTGTGGGCCCAACTGGCATAATTTCAACACCTGAGCCTGAAACACAAGCTTTTCACTGTACCATCCAATAACAGAGGTAGGTAGGTAACTCATAATATCGAGAACAATATATTACTCGATATAACTAGAACATGATCATACCCCTTCCAAGGGACTTGCGTTCAACCATTTTCAGGAAATCCATGGAAATCCTAATTAAAGGGGATATTGTCATATAGCAACGCACAGATTCCTTGGGGTGAACGTGAAGAAGTTCCCACTCCACACCGATTGTGGACCGTAATACTCTCCGTGTCTGTATGTTAAAGCGCTACGCCTAAGAGAAACCACCAGCGGCTAGGCCAAGGGTCGTCTGGGTCTCAGCCAGCACCGAGAGTTCGGAGCTGATGCTTTGCACCTGGCGCCGGCCGCTTTTGGAGACGCAACGTGGAGGGCGCCATCGGGCGAGGTGGACGGTTGTGTCCTGTGCGACGTTTCTCGAGGTTTCTCTGAAAAAAACACACACAAATGTCAACGGATTCTCTGCGAAATGACTGGAACAGATTCGCCCAACATCGCCAAGGAAACTAGGCATGTGAGGATTCCTGACATGCGTGGTTTTCCAGAAATGTTCATCACGAGACGACCATTTCTAGAGAGTATGTTCAATGGAATGCGGGTGATGTTTTGCACGGTGCTCAACTCATGATTGATGGCTCACCCTGTACAGGAAAGGAAGGACAAAGAATTGCGCAGGCCAATAGTTGTATTGTAACATCTTCCAACTATAAAGATTCCAATATGCTTGCGAATGTCCCATGTCAGCTAGTAGACTACATGTAGGTGGTGCCAGTGTTATTATTATTCTTCCGCAGCAAACCCACTCATCACCACCTGGACTAGGAGAAAGCAACCCTGATGGCCACGACCCGGGTCTTTCACACACCAGCTGTCACAATAGCCCAAGTTTCTCCACTGAGACTAGAAAAAAACTACCCTGGGACTCTCGCCTGCTTCTTAAGAGTGGCAGATTTCGAAGCAGCTGCATCAATCTTGCCTCGAGTTCCACGATCGCTTGGTCCAACCCTTTGGTCGACCCGCCCGACTCGGCTCGGATCCCGGATCCCGCTGGGGAGGCTGTGCAAAGGAAGGAAGATCATAGAACATCAAGCGGTCTTCCAAGCCCCAAAGTTCGAACTGGAACTGGTGAATCAACTGCCAAGACTTCCCATCCGGATTTAGTCATGTCCCTAACTTCTACCACAAAATGATGGCCCCCATCCCTGCAACGTCACAGGCTTCTGGGGACTGAGTTCATGGTCTATCCGGTATTAAACTAGCCCTCTCAAAGATTTGACATCAATTCCACCTCTTTGCTTGGGTGCCACACAAACACACACACACACTCGCAACCACTCGCACACACCAATCAAACGATATCAAACGCATACAAAGCCCCGCACACAACGAACAAAGACCCCTCGTTGATAACACTCTGCTCCGAGCAGTCAAGGGGCTCGCCACACTTTCCAAATCTGCCTCCTTGGCCTCCTCGCCACAGGATGGCCGGATCTAAAGTCGAACTCTAATTGGTCAAGTGGGAGGGACAAATACAGATTTTGCGCAAAAGTATTCCCACACCCTGAACAGTTCAGCGGGTGGGAATAAAGAATGTTATTCTTTCCAACATCTTCTGCGGTTTTGCTTGAGTCCTGGAACTCTAACCTGAAAGCCAATCTTCAAAAGCCTTCTTGAAACATTTTAAAACAAACACATTACTCCAAATAATTTGTCAAAGGGGAAGTGCACAAGCCCAAGGGAGGTGAAAAAATAGGAGTTTGTTTAGAGGAGATGCTGAACCTCGGAGCCCTCAAAGAACAATCTAAGATTGCTTTGGTTTTTAATAATATAGTTCTCCTGTTCCTGCTCCTGCTGCTACTACTACTACTACTATAACTCAATCCCCAACAGGTTATATATGTGGGGTGGACTCTCCCTCAGTTGTTTGCTAGGGACATTGTTTACTACCTTTTTTAGACCCAACATTGTGTTTGTGTTGTTCAATGAAGTTCATGTAAGCAAATCATGTCAACATCAAAACACAAAGAAATCGGCACTCGCTTTCCCTTCCATATCCTGCTACGACTGAAGGATCAGGCGTCCGGACCAGACGTGGACTACTAGTGCTTGCAAGTTGGTATCACCAAAACAACCAACAAAAGCCCCTTTTCACCCGCTCCCATGCACGATCAAGTCTGGTATGCCCACCTCCGAGACCCTGACACAAGCGGCATCGACCGAGAGAGCGGCATCGAGCCGAGACGGGCCCGAGACCCTGAGAGCTCCTTCTTGTCGTTGGCCTTGCCCATCTCTGCATCACAGTAGGCCTGCACACATGATTCGACACCGAAGAACAGAGCCGACTACACCGTGAATACCAACAATTCAGGAGTAAATAGCACAACCCATACAACCCCCTATCTACTATAGGGGTGTGCAGTGCATTAAAATCGGGAGACCTCCCAAATACTCCCTGGAATATGGAAAACACACCAGTCAACCCATTGAAAGGGATCTCCCTATCAAAATACACACCCAGATCAAGGGATCTGCGGGCAGCAAACCATGATGGTCCAGTGCGATCGATCGCCCTTCCGTCCCTCAGTTCGATCTCCTCGTCTCCACGCATCCAGTCCGGACATGACGTCCGTCAAAGGTGAAAACTCAGATCTGATTTGGTCAGATGTTTATATGCATCACATGGCGTACACACCCACATGTAAAAACGCCAGCACCACGCCTTTTTGGTGGCTTCCGCTTGCAGATTTTCCTGCATAGTGGTGATCATGTCCTGGCTGCTCTTCAGAACATGGTCATCATCATGTTAATACAACTTAATAAACCAGTGATGTCCTTTTGTAAAAACAATAGAGGGGTCAGTTTTGTACCATTTACCCATTGGTTGTTCACTTGGGGAGGACCCTCCATCTATTGATCGAACCAAAAGCCATCTATGATGTTAACACTCAAGGTGAAGTCATCCCGACCAACAACATGGACGACCATCTGTTCGCCAAGGAACACAGAACATGGACGGAACCTGGCAGCCTGACGCCCACCTGGCGCCCTCATGGTGACGTGTCCAATCCGCTTTCTAGATGTGTTCCTGGATGGTGACGTCCATGCCATGCCCCATCCGAAACATTCTGGTGTTTGCCTCCCGGCTAGCACCCCCCCCAAACAAAAAATAACAATCACGCAAAGCAAAGACAAGCAAAGGCAAGCAAAGATAAGAGCTGGTGCATGTCGCTAGCACTGGATCGTAGACGCGCGAACTGTCGCGCGGTCCGTGATCATGGTCTTGATCTTGGCGAAGATGTCGGCGCTTTGCCCCTCGCGCAGCATGGAATCCATGCGGCGACTGAGCAGCACCAGCTGGTGGTCTTGCAGCTGTTGTCCCAGGCTGCGCACCATGCGAACCACCTGGAGATATGGGATTGACATGGGATTGACTGGAGGAAAAATAATAGATCCTGGTAATGTTAATCCAGAATCCATCTTTAACTTTAAATTCCCAACCCAGCAAAGAACATATTGCTTGGAATGGTTATGCTGGGATCCAACATCCGAACCCTCAAAACCCTGCCATTGGCAATTTGCAGTATTTAAGTTCTTGGGCCTACCACAGGTTTGCGTCCGACGACGTCCTCCGTGCGTTCTTGCCCCGCCTCGACATGCTTTGAGCCTTGTGAGTGACCTTGCGAAGGCATGCGCGGGAAAAAAAACATGCAGGCTTGGAACAACTCAAAACACCATTGCACTCCCGGTGCCACCATCACCCTCGGTTTCTCCAGCACTTTGATGAAGAAACAACATATAGGAGCCAATATTCCATTGGAAAGAAATATCCACACTAATTATAGATACCTGCGAGAGGAGTCTAGAGAAAATGATCATCTATAGATTTAGATCAATCCTTCATCTTCCAAAGACGTTCGGATGGAAGTCTTTGTAAAGGCCCGGAGGGATAAAGGCAATGCTGAGCGACTGGGTACATCTGGGTCTTGTGCTTTAAACATCAACCAAACTTCCCCAACACTTGTAAGACCACCGAAAAACACTTCCACACCCGAATCTCACATTTTATACCATATTCGAAACCAAAAAAATTACCTCAATGATCTCCGTATCAGAACTCCCGATTTTTCCGAACCCGTATCCCACACCCATCCACACCCCCGGTTTGTCTCTCCCTGTGTTCCGCATCTGCGTTTGGTCGGTCTCGGTCGATGTCGGGTGGCGAACAGAGCTCTTCTCCTGCAGGAAGGAGAGACCCGAGGATTCCTTCAGCGTGGCCTTCGCCGACTTCAGAGCCTCCCACGTCGAACCGGACGGACGACGACCGGCCACCGGGGAGGCCAGCGTCCGTCGTGGGAACGGCTGGGAGCGTCGGAGCCACCGAGAAGGTGACAGAGGTGACAGTATAGCCTGTATAGCTACCTCCGAATGCATCTCTTGCGTTAGTGAGTGTCTCCAGATATGATGTGTGGAATTGTGGTTGAAGGCACTGCCCGGTCTTTGCCCGGTCTTCGTATTACTGAGCATGTCTCCAGGAGGATCGTTGAAAGAGGAACATGTCTTTCGATCACGGAGCTCACTCAAGCATTTTGGATGGGACCGGCTGAATGTAAATTATATATATATTGTTTGAAGACCATCTGGAGGGTGAGTTCTGCTCGAAGATGAGGAAACCCTATGTCACAGTGGATCGCAAACTTTAGACAAATACATCTGCTTGCTTGCTGGCTGGCTGGCTTGCTTGTTTGTGTCTGTATTTTTGAATGTGTCGGCATGTTTGGGGTGGTGTGGCTGAATTCGTTGACATGATATTGGAGACTTTACCAACTGAACATATGGAGACGTGAGCTGCCAGTTTGCTTTGCTTTCTTGCACAAAAAGCATGCATGTCTATATATGTCTATGCAGCTATGCACCATGCCCATGCTGATGTGTTTCAAAGTTTTGTTGATCAAAGATGGCTCACATCTGGAAAGTGCAAACCCCCCATGAATGCAATCGAAATCTCCGTTATATAATTATTCCTGAGAACACCAGGTTTTCTTGGGGATTTTGACTTGGAAGCTTTCCTGTACACAGTACACAGTCCGTTCCCTCTTCTCATGGTGTAAACCTCCTCCTCAACAAACAAAGCCATGCGGGCCCGGGCCCGGGAGCTGAGCTGCCTCCAACTCCAGACCGCGGCTCTTGGCACCTTCCTCATAGTCTGCTACCTCGGACCTGAGGACGGCGAGGTCGACCAGGCCGAGGGAGTCTGGACCACCCAGCCCACTGCTCGACACCAATAATTGTGTGCATAGAATGTACGTGGGGCAATTTCGCATGGGACGAGTCTTATGGATGGTCCTTGTCTAGTGACTGTCAGATATTGGACATCGATAGATTTATATAAAAGACCTCCAAATAGCTCCAAAGAGCGATGATGAGACATTTCGATTGGTCCATTTTCTGCCCACCCACAAAACATCACAAACCCGTTCTTTCTCCCGCTGGTTGCTAAACAACTCTAACAAGACAAACTCCATTTTAAACGTACAGAATCAAATTATTCATCAAGGTGCTTGCAGTCCAACTTGAAGTCTGCCAAAGTCTTCTCATCCTGTGCCAGGGAGACCTTCGTCTCTTCCAATTCCTTGGAGGCTTCGGCTTTGATCCTTGACCTCGCCGCGATGCCCGGTGCGATTCCAAACGAGCTCACTGATCGTTGAGTCAGGAGAGGGCGAAACGATGTTAACACATGGAGACATGTCCTAAGGATCCTAAGGTAACCGCATGGTAGCGGCCATAAGCAATCTGAAGAGATCTTCATGATCAATAAGCAAATATGTTGTTCAAACGACCTCTTTTCCATCACTCGTGGAAAACTGTGGTTTGCACATGGTTTGCAGATTCTTTCCCGAGACACTTCTGTCTGTATTTGCTGATGTGGACAGATTGCGTGGAAACAACAGGGGCAAAGCTTTTGATGGGGTGCTCCTCTCAGCAAATCCACTCCAGCCATGCAACAATTCTCCCGAAGTTTGGTAGACAACTCGAGAGAGTCTGCTGAAAAAAACAAGATCTCCGCGAAACTGGATCGGACCACAAACGCACGCAAACTCTATATTGTGCACCAGTGATCCCTGCCATCCACTAGGCAAAGATGGCAGTGTCCACTCTCCAAAAGCTTTGACTTTTGGTTCCACTCCTTTTCAAAATCATCTGCAACAGCCCAGATGACCAATCCCAAATCTGCTTGCTTGTTTGGCACCAGTAATCAAGATGAATCATGCGCAGAATCCCCAGCTCTGAGCTCTGTGCTGCTCTGCTTGCACCTTCTGAGACTTCTCCAGGGCTTGCTGGCTGAAGGAGATCTGACGAACTCGTTCGGACCAACCGACCGGAGTATCGGACCCGCAAGGATCCGTTTTCGCTGACCCGGTCTCCACGAAGCACGACCCCCGGCGTGTTTTCTTCCCGCCCGGGTAGCGCGGGTCAGGGGGTTCAGACAGTTGGCACTTGGGGGGGAACCCTTCCAAAAGCAGCGGCATCTTCTATTAAGACCACCAGATTGCCAAGTGCACACGCACTGCATGTTCTGGCGCACTCCATGTTCGAAAGCCACGCGCGACTTGCCTGGCAAGTCCCAGGGTTCAGGCGGACTTCGGCCTGGCCTGATCTTGCAAGGACTGCGTGAGCATCTCAAAGCTGTGTTTGGCCTCGGTCTCCTTCTTGCCTAAGCGTCGAGGGCAGGAACGGCAGCGGCCAGCCGCGTCGTCTAGGGCGGTCTTGGTGGAAAGTCCGGTTCCCACTTCGAGATTGTCCCTCGTGATCTTGAAGACCACTCACTTAAGAGGATGGCCTTTTCCTGTCAAAATATATAAAACTAGCTATGTTTGGTAGACAAATATACATTGCTGTGGATCAAAACTAAGAGACCGACCGGTTGACTTACCGACGTGACTTGCGCATCCAGTGTCCGACGCTTCCCTCAGCCCTTCACCTTGTGGTGGGTTCTGGGGAGCTCTGGTATGTAGAAAAGAGAACATGCAGCTAGCATACTGTACACACGGCCGAAATCAAGACTACGTGAAACCGAATGTCCGTGCAAAATTTCCAAGACAAGAAAACATCACTTCACAAGATTTCACCATCCTAATTAGGTGCTGGAGGTATCAGCACCGTTGACAAACCGTTTGTTTCATCCACATGTTTCTCAAATGTTGTCGATCAAGAAAACACTGTTCATAGCTAAGATTGACTGCCTCAACAACTGGGAAAATTGGTTTCATAAATTGCAGTGTCCATCAGAGTCCATCAGGGTGAAAAAGGGGTTTGCCATGCAAATCTGAGACATATTGGTGAAGTGTCTTCTGAACTGCAATCGGGTTGGGAATTTCAGGTCTCAAAGGAAAACCTCCCGTGTACGACCCCATCCTGTTTTGACCAGGCTTGTGGAACCTGTTTTGGAATATTTAGGGATCATAGGCGCTAGTGAAACCGTGCAAATACAAAACAATGAATCGAAATGCTTCTGATTGCTCGCGGAGAGACCGTTTGGCCCATTTGGTCAATGGTAATGCACTTTAGTATCTTGCCAGTGGTGCGGTCGGGCCCTTTGACTTTACGTAACGCGGATCCATATTGGAAATTGCAAACCTGTATTGACCATGAAAGCAATTGGTTGACCTACCTGGAAGGTCGTTCGCCATATGGTGGACTGGCCGGGCTCCAGGTGCCATGACCCATCCCCCCATAAACAACCGTACGGATTGGACACCGTAGCCTATTTTGCAGGTTCGCATGTCAAGTTCATTGGTAAACGCAGTGTTTTGTCATGTGTTTTGCCTAGAGAAAAAAAGCTTTTGCGTGACACCTCAAGTTGCTAGCTGTCCCCAGTCAGGCTCCGAGTGCAAGTCTTTTTCATCGATGCCATGGTCGAGCAAATCAGCGGGGGCGCGCCCATCCGACATGGAGCTGCTACAACAAGGGTTGACACACCACAAAGGAAGAAGACACAAAATACGGGGAGGACAAGGAACACCCGACAACCGAGGCAACAAAACTAAAGCACACACCGTGGCTACTTCTTGAGCCTTCGTGCTCGTGAATCGTATGCGAAAACAAGAACGAAATTACAGCACCCCCCGATGTTTTCTGTTTTTGGGCCCCCGTTTACGCTATAGCTTCAACTTGGTTATCGTGCGATATGCTCTTACGCAATGCATTGACATGCCACAACATTTGGCTCAAGGTATGTGCGTGTGAAAACAGCCGCTCGATCGCCTTCGCTCACTCGCTCTTATTGTGAACCTTGTTGGACTGTGAGTTGAATCCAGGGATACTGAGTATTACACGCTCCACTGCGGGAAATTTACCCTCAACCCCCCCCCCCCCCCCCCCCCCCCCGGCCCCCCCCAAACCCCCCCGCCCCCCCCAAAGCCAGAAAAAGGGGGGGGGCTTTCCGTCCCAAGGCATAAACAAGTCACCTACGTGCTGGTGGCACATCCCACATCTGGCACCTCCTCCGCAACAAAAATATGGGCTCCTGAGCACCCCCCGAGTTCTACCCAGCGACGTAGCTCGTTGAGCTCATCGCGGGACTTGTCCATCATGTCCTCCAGCATCTCCTCGCGACACCGGGTTTCTCCGCATCTCCGGTCACGGAGACAGGGTCCCGGTCGTCGGAGATGAAGCCCAGCGATGTCTGGGAGTTGGGGATCTGGAAGAATTGGAACAAACATGCTGTTGTAGATGTCCATTCTGTAGCAACACTGCCACAAATGCAGTTCCCATTGAAGTAATGCAAAGCACAACAACTGTTCTATGAATGTGTCAAATTATCTATCAAATCTGGGAAGTTCTGTGAAACTTATTAAGTACGTCCAAGTCACAGTGATGCCTCCGCTCTTGCTCTTGTAGGCCGCAGGCTCCTGACCAAGCCGAGGCAGGTCGGGGCTCAGTTGGGGCTCCATTCAGCAAGCGTGCCAGGCCGAACTCAGCCGGTTAAAACCGAGAAGGATCATCCGAAACCTGGTGTCCTGGCTTAAGGTTTTGGAGTCCGGACAGAATGTGTAGGACGATCCCGGGTGTCCAGCCAGGACAAGACAGGATGATCCTGGAAGTCAACTGGAGAAGCAGGGAAGAGCTCTTGGCCTTGTCAGCATTTGCTGCTTGCATATAGAATCATTGTTATGGGGAAAGCAACACCGCCTACTAGCTGGATGCCTTGGCATGCAAACAGTCTGCCTGTACGCTGAACACTTCAAACCACACATCCCACACGACACATAACTAAATCTTCGGCTGAAACATAAATAATAAGAATGCGCTGATGGAGGAAACGTCATCAAGCAACCTAATCCTCTTTGTCGCCTTGACTTTAAAGGAGCGCCATATTGGACTACAGGTCCCTTGACACCAAATCCGATTGAACACGTGATCCTGTTGACAATGCCTCTTGAGACTCAAGGAGTGCTTGGCTCACATTGACAACCACTCAAAACCTTGCAAACGGACTTTTACGCTTAGAGAGTATCAATCAAATCTGGACCTTTTTTGGGGAAGGGTGAAAATGGTGAAAACATGTCAAAAGTCAAAGCGACAATTCGTTGAGTGTCTGAGCTTCGGAATCTTTTGGATGCTCTTGGATCCTAAGGTCCTAAGGGTTCAGACTTGATGGTCTGCTTCTGAACCAAAAACACCTCAAGGTCAGAAAAAAGGTGACATCCGACATGTTTCCACATTGCACTGGATGGTAAAACACCACCACCACCACCAGCACCACCACCACCACCACCAGCAGCACCACCACCACCAACAACAACAACAACAACAACTTCAACTTTATCTTTGAAGCCAAACCTCGCTGAATGACTCTGTCCTTACGTCCCTTGAAAAAGACTCTGTCCTCGTCTCCTTGCTATGTTACAATAAGGAACGACACAGGAATGACACACACACACAAGTTCTTGCAATCCAAGGCTCTGGTTTCTCCTCTTGATCTTGCAACAGTGCTGTCAGCTTGTTGGCATCCTGCTGGCAGAAAACCAATCCTAATCCACACAACAATGAATCACACACCAAGGATATTCAAGTCAATGAGGGGGACTTGAACCCCGAAATGCTACACATTCCCATGTAAGTTCAGCAATGGATTGGTTCACCTTTCATGCTGGCAGATGCTGGAAGCTATCCTCAAACTCGGCGTTTCTTCTGTAAATCCATGTTGGAAAGGTCCCTGACTGTGAAAAGCAACTGGTCACGTGCTGCCCTGCTTTGGTACCCAACTTTCCTCCTATCTTGTTCCATGTTCGAGGCATCGGCATCGGCCGAACATCCCCGCGCGGGGCCGTGCGGAACCTGGTGCCCGATCATCGAGGCATCCATCATCAGCTGAATGGCCTCCAAGAGGCTCGGCGCGTTCTTCACCTGGCAGAAAATCAAACCGATCGATCTCGGCCGGTCGTAAAGGGCTCGCAGCGGTATTTGGATTTCAAAGAATGGGGTAGCTAGGTTTGAGAATACAGCCCATCCTATCATGAGCGGGTAAAATAACAAGAAACAAGAAAGAATGGAACCATGTGCAACCTATAGTTTGGTGGGGATCAGCTCAAAATGCGAGTGGATCTTAATCAGCGAAGTTTGAAGCTATCACTGACGGTCCATAAGCGGCGTAGCGTCGGAACGGAAACCGCACCTTTTCTAGTCGCTTGATCCTTGAGCCAAAGTACATATGGTACATATATATGTACAAGTTGCACTGTACGTGTCGCTGCACTTTCATTCGCACCCCCCATGTGAACGGCAACAATATGTTCCGATCACACA